TCACGGGTCTTTCGGATATGACCTTAAAAACGTAGGTCCCGTGTCACGGTAGGCGTTGGCACGATAAAGAACCCTCACTGCACAATGGCCCTGAGTGCCGAGTATAGGTCTAAATTTGAAGCCGTTCACCGGCATCGGTGACGTCTCCATATGAGTGAAAAATTCTCAAGAGGGACGTTAAACAATATACAATCAATCAATCTAATTGGGTAATTAGTAATATATGGTTAAATAGGAAGAGTTTACAATAGGTACTCCCCAATCAGGGAGTGTTTAAGATATGAAAGGAAATCGTCGTGATTTTCAGGATAATAATGAAGTGGTAAAAGTTACAAGGTGAATATAATTGAAAAAGTTTTTCAACAACACTGTAGTAAAAATTATTTTAAATGTCTACAGATGTGACAACAAAAAAAATTTTCTTACATTTTTTCATCATACTACGCGCCTTGATTAGCATACTGCAGAAACCATGGGTATTATCACGTGACGAAGATCCAGGGTTTCAGCATGTGGTTCATCTTGAGAGGTCTACATCTTCATTAATAAATTCTTATCATTCATCATTGACTTTTTATTGATTCATTGATGACTCCATTTGATGAACAAATGCACTAAAATTTCTATTCAATTAAAAAAGCATTTTATTTATTTTTGCTTTGAAGACGGTCTGAAATGAAAATGATCTATTCTATTTCAGCTTTCAATATTTTGTGCTTCCCATGCATTGATGCTTTTGAAATCAAGAAAGTACTAGTAATTGTTGAAATTATAAACTTTGCGGCCGATTTGACGCTTTGCATCAATTTTATTTGGAATGTTTAGTAGGAGTATTTTCTATCGAACGATTTTTTTTATTTGGTTTTTGACGATTTTTTCTCCTATGGTGTACATGATGAATAAATGTAATAAATATAATTTGTGAGAAAAAAAGTGTCCAACAAGTCCGGGGGTTGAATATCGGGGGGGGGGGGGTCCTGTCAACAAGCACCTGTGATGTGGTGTTGTCATGTTGATCCTTTCCATCTCGATACATGTATCAAAATTCAAGATACCCAGCTTCAAAACACCAGGAAATACTTACATGTACCCCATAGCAAACACATATCATCGAGAGCCTGCCTCTTATTTTTTTCACAGACAGCACTTTTTACTTTAAAATATATATGAAATGAAAGTATGAAAAATTCTGTCTTTCCCTCCACTTTTGTTGCAATACCGTCAAATAAAGGTAAGCTATGTTTGAGTTAAACAATTTCGTACTGAAAGAAGTTTATTTCTATGCTGTTTTTTAAATTTTTTTTTTTATTTTATTCTATCTTTTTTTATTATTTTTATTTTTTTTAATTTTTTTTTTTTTTGCATACGGAATAATCATATTAAAGATGCATTGGATAATTCACTCAAGATTTATGATCTAAATAATACACACATAATTATTTTAATGTAATTATATTGATTGTAACTGAAACTTTAACCCTCTCCCCTTACAGATCTACTTCAACAGTTTACTTATCTTATATCTTTTTTTTCTCACAATTTCAACCTATTTGCAAGAAAATCCTATAATTTTATTTTTTTAATTTTGCAAGACTACGTTATAATTATATAATATTTAATGATATTCATAAAGTTTGAAACTTTTTGTCCTTCATCTCATGCATAACCCGAGATCTCTTTCACAACTGAATGATCGCATGCATCAGCAATGTTGTTTCCCTCGAATATTTGTCAAATTATACACATATCGCAGTCCCAATTTTGGTGGATAGGATGCACTTGTAGCATACTCATGGTGGACATTGAATTTTCAAGGTCTGTTGAGATTAAAAGGAATTTTAGTCGGCGAATACTATTTTCAATCAGCGTTTTCGCTCTAACCAGCCCTTGCTTCAAAATAAATATAGTCGCTAATCGACAATCTCTGCATTTTATGAGAGTGTAAAATTAAAGAAAAATAAATTGCTCATGGAATCACATTCTTATATTTTAATAAAAATATCAATTATTGCCTGAATCGGGTCCATTTACTACCTGTGTACTGGAACTATTCGGATCAACTGCACAACCGGAAATCGATCTCTTTTGATTGTTATACACAACTGCTGGTTGTGCAATTGATCGATTAGCAGGCGTGAAAACATCGGGATCCAACTCTCATAGCTTACGTGCAGTCATTCTTTTTACAGAAAAATGAAATTTTCAAATATGCAGCTCATATTGCTTTAAATCTCAAAATAGTGCTTAAATCATCCACTGTAACCCCTCCCTATCCTCGGGGTATGATTTGGACGAATTTGAATCTACACATCAAATGGTCAAGTTTCCACATATAAGGTATACCTTTCCTTTTCCATTTGTTTTTGAGAAATTTTCTATATCCCTACTAGACGCGAACATGAACTTTCATTGAACGATTTACATTACATTTTACCTTAAACAGTTAGTTGTAATTGGTCAAGAGAAAGATAGATAGAGAGATAGAGAGATAGATAGAGGGAGAGAAAGAGAGAGGATACATTATAATCTGCAAATGGAAATATTGTATTTATATCTCCAAGTTGATTCGATAAAGAGCATGTTCTATCTGCAAAAATACAAACATCCAAAGTTGATCGGGACAGTGTTAAAAGACCTTATCCTGCCTCTGATAAAAATCGTGAAATTTCATTGACCGAGATCAATACTGCATGAAACGATGTTATGCTGTCTACCCACCTCACATTGCTAATGTGCCCCCTCCACGTGACCTACCCACCATGTATTAAAAATTTACCAACCACACATCATCAATATACTGCTTTCACGTTACCCGCATGGAGCTTCATAACTGACGTCACAATGCGTCTGACGACAACAATGGATGCAGAACGTCTTGCTTGGACCCTCAGTGAAAGCGGTTTATCGATACTATATATATTTAGTCTTTTAGAGAACCATCGGCAGGATAAATTCATTATGTAGACACTAAGAGGGGTAATACGGAAATATATGGGGTCCTTGAAAAAATGCATATTAGGCTCGCTTACGCCTCGCCCAGTATGGATTTTTTCAAGGACCCCACATATTTCCGTATTACCCCTCTTAGTATCTACATAACTAATAATGCACTGTCTTCGTTACATTGGTATAGGGTGATTTTTCATATATCAGAGAATGATTTCTTGATGAAAAGTTTTGGATATCTTAGGGGGTCTACTTTGCCTCATGATTGTCGATCTCATCTGTATCTTAAATTTCATACTCATTTACAATAAAAAAAATTAAAAGTTCAGCTATTGAAATTAGACTAAATATATACCTGTTTCTGTATAAGTTATATTCAGATATTCTCTCTTTTTCTCCTGCATTTGCTTATTGCAATATAATTTAAAATATTGATTCCAAGTATCTCTTTGAAACATGACTTTAGTTACTTTATTTTGAAATGCAGAATGTCTTTCAACGTTTTTTTTTTGAAAGTTGTGAAACATATTATGCGAGGGTTGTCCAAAAAAAACCTTGGACAAGTAGTCTAGATTAAAAATATATTCATCACAGCCTTCTAAAATTTTCACTATTCTTATTGAATTTTTCATCAATTGGTATAGCAAATTTAAAATAGATATATTCATAAAGAAACAAATGGTGAGATTTTATATGATTTTATATTTTATATGTGTTGCATCGCCTCATGGCGCGATGCACCGGATGATAACATCAATGTGTCAAAGGTGTCGTAAAGTGGCAGGTTTCCTTTTTGTTAAAAAAGCTGGATAAGCCCCACTTAAGTTTTGGAATTCTGGTGATGCACATACTTGAGTTTCCCTTTATTTTTCCCTAAACAGTCGAGGAACCAATCTTACAAATAAATGGGACCTTCCGAAGATTTGTTATAAAGTTATAGACAATATTCTTACTGTCATTCAACTGAGTAGACAATCAATTGCAAATATCGATGGTTTGCATTGACAGTGTCTTTTGCTATTACAATAACTGTTTATCCGTATGTTTAGCTGTAGCAGAGGACTCGATCAAAGAATATTTTGCTAAGAAAACTCCCTCTTTTAATTGTATACTGGGGATCTAGTGATATATTTTAAATATTTTTTCTTCTGTATTCATTAAAGTGACTTCATTATATCCTAGTAAAAATGAACAGTTTTCCAGGGCGCCGTAACGTCATCAAATGTCGTCATTTTTTGTGTGCTGTATTTACCACTTTCCAATTTAGAAAATCTGGAAACCAGACAAAACATTAAGCAAATGCATTAAAATTTTCAAAAAGACGACATGAAAGATATAGTGGATTAAGAAATGGATAATTTTTACTTCAATCTTATCTTTTTAATACTTTTATTTCGAAATAATAATCATGTATTCTCTGATGAAATCCTGTTTTTTTTTTCACTTTGCGCTGAAGGACAGTACCCTGTGTACATTCGAGCATAATGGAATCTATATTTTCGTCTAGATTTTCTCAAAACAATTAAGATGCACTTGCATGTTACAAATTAACATTTACTGGAAATTTCAGTTCTTTGCGCTCATTATTTGCCGAGAAAAACGCTTTTAAAATGTGTCCATGATTTTACCGGACCGCACAACCCTCGTACAACACACAACCCTCGTACAACACACAACCCTCGTACAACACACAACCCTCTTACAACACACAACCCTCGTACAACATTTTGAAACAGAGACTGCACGTAAATAGAGTTAAGTTCAATATGCTACAGGTGGTATAACTGATGAAATCTGCCTGTATGAAGCAAGAAATGATGGATAAGATTTTTTTCACGTCAAGAACATGATAAGTATGTGAAAAAAGGATCACGAAGATAAAAATATTAAATGGTGTTTAAATGTTTTATTAAATACATAGAAAACCCATGGTTTTGTACATTTTCATTTATTTTATCCTAAGGGCAGACCACTCTGGCATAAAATGCATAAAACATGAAAAATTGAATTAATCAAAACAAAAATTGCAATTCCCGGAAGAACGTTCTATCATTTTTATTTCTTGTTCATACAAATTGCTAGGTGTAAAAATCTTCCTGTTTCATTTCCCTATAGCTTATATACACGATGACAAACATATTCAGTGTTTTATGAAAATTCAATTTTTAAATGCATGCAATGGATTAAAAATACAAAAGGTCAATCTTTATATTCAGTGTACTATTTTGGGTTATATCACTCCATTCTCTTAAATTTGGATTTTCATTTGATTAAAAATCAGACAATTAAATTTGAAATAATTTATGTTTCGTACCAGTTTTGATTTATCTTTTTCGAGGCTATGTGCCTATTTACAATGCATTATACAAAATTAAAGCAATGATCAAAAGTTACGAGTTAAAACACGGAAGTTTCGTTTCATAGCGCAAAAGTTTCGCAACTAATGACAAACATATTTTTCAAACTACGAAAATGAGGTCAGTGGACTTAAAAAAAATATACATGTATATTTATATTAAGTGTGTATATCATTAACGCTACATTTTTATATAAATGTTGTATCTTATATCAATCCGTAAATGTTTAAGCTGCCAGAGAGCGAAGGGGGTATGCATATAGTGGTAATGTATGCATGTAGGTATAATGTATGTATTTTTGTAGCAATAATGAATATAAGGTTGTAATGACAATTTTGAAAATGTAGAGTTAATGGTATGCACCCTTAATTACATTGATAGAAATAAATTGCTTTCGGCATAAGTAAAACATAAGTAAAAACGGTGTTTTAATGCAAAAATAGGATCAATACAAAATATCAAAAGAGACCAATGGAGCTGGTAACTGTTTTTTTTTTAAAGTAAAAGCTAATCACATTCATTTACTGTTCGATCATTTTGATAGGTCTCTTAAATGAAGTAAATGGCTTACGTCCTGATAGTTCACCTAAAGCAGTTGTCCGTGTACTCGTATTTAATTGTCAATGGAATTTTTGGGAACTCTACAAGTGTTATTTAGAGTAACCGTTTATAAAATAGAGGAAACATTTTGGAGATAACTACGAGGTTATTTGATATTTTCTTATGAATGAGTTTTTAGTTCCTATTCACTTTTTATACACTTTATTGGTCCCACTCCTAATTTTCAAATAACTAAATTTTTTTTTTCAATTTTTGCAATTTTTAAAATTCAGGTATAAATGACCCTAAAACTAAAGAAGGTAAATTCACTTGTCACCCAAAATCCCTATCCCTGTCGAAACAAACATGTGGTTACCGGTCAAATTATTTTCAAAATATAAATTACAACATCAATATTTTCTTCCCCTTTATTTACCTATCGTACAATATACATCTGGATTTAAAACATTAAACCAGGATTTATTTCTCCTAGTCTTTTTCCCGTTATATACGTCTCTTACATATCTACATAAAGCACACTGGGCATCTAAAATGATTTTTCGAAAAGATTTTGGAATAAATTTGTCCTTCTCCTTTAAGTAGCTTGTGTATTCCGTTTCATTAGAGCCTATTCTGATCAATTCTTTGGCTAAAAGACCGACAGAAGGAAAATCCTGACTGTTAATGTAAGTTTCTGTAGGAAGATATTGACCGGCGTCCTTTGGTCCGTTAAAAACAGGTATTACGTGAGCACGGTTTAAATAAAGTGAAAACAGTTTTTCTGTTGTATAACCTTTGCAAAGTGAATTCTCAAAAGAAAAAAAGAATTTGTAATCTCTTTCGAATATGTCCTGGCACCCCTTTAAATTATCATATTGCTTGCCACATCTTTTAGTTCCACATCTGCCAAATGTATCCACTTTTAAGTATTTACTTAGCTCTTCAACTAACTTTTCTCTTCTTGAAGGAGTTGGACAGTGGCTTGAAACCCATACTGCGTCTTTAGTTTTCTTGCTGAGTATTCCAGTGTAGTTTTTGATGACGGGTTCTTGTATTTTTTGCAATTTACCGTAGAATGGTACATAGATATCCGATTCCTCCATATACGACATGGATATATCAAATTGTTTCAACCATTTCTTATTTGGTCTTTCAGTGTGATACGGGCTTTCTGCCGTGTTAAACACCCAGATTTGTCCTTTTCCTTTCTTAATCACCGTTTTAGGAATGTCTCTGTGGCTGAATACCACTATATCAGCATTGAAAACATTCGTTTCTAAAACACAGCCAGGTATGGAACATTGAGTACCATCGTAATACCGCAGCTGATCCACAAAGCACTCCTCTGCTTGGAACCAATGTGTGCGATATGTCCTTGGAAGTGAGTTATTGAATACTTTATTGGTCATATTTGTATCGTTCTGTGACAAGTCAAACGTATCTAATGCAGAGAAGTAGGTCAGGAAAGGACGTTCTGTAGTTGGAATCAGACTCAGGATTATAATAAAAGATATAATTGTTATAAAACACAGTGATGTAAAAACGCCATTTCTTTCGAACATCTCTGAGTGGACTGAAATAATTAAAACAAATTTTAATTGAAACCAAAAAAAAAAGATAAAGGAAAGGCAAACAAGAGGCCCAGGGGCCACATCGCTCACCTGAGCAATTGGCTAGGAAAAATCACACATCAGATCAGAACTGAAAGTTTGATTGAGGCGGGGTTGAATTTTAACCCCCAGGGGGTCATGATTTGAACAAACATGAATCTACTATACCTGTGGATGATTCCCTATAAATATCACTAAGCATGGCTTTAAAGTACCTGAAAACAAGATTTTAAAAAGTTTCCCTAGATATTCCTATGTAAAACTTTTATCGGCTATTTTGGCCCCACCCTACCCCTGGGGGTCATGATTTAAACAAATTTGAAACACTACCTTTTCTGAGTTTATCTAGTCCTTTGAAAGAAGATGAATTATTCCATGTTAAACTTTGAAGCCATTTTGGCCCCAAACCCCAGAATTTAAATGTCTTACCTGAAGATGATTCCACATGGTTTCTTCTTTCCTGGTCCAGTGGTTTTTGAGAAGAAGATTTTTAAAGATTTTTCCTGTATATTCATATGTAAAATTTTGATTTCCCATTTTGGCCCCACCCTGCCAAACATGTATCCAATACTAAAGATTTCCAATGAGTATCATCTACCTGGTCCAGTGGTTCTTCAGAAGAATTTTTTTCTCTTTTTCTTGAAACCTTTGACAGTGGCAAAACAAACTTGAATCTACATACCTGAGGATGATTCCACATGAGTTTTCTTTCCTTCTCAATGATTTTTTCCTGATATATTCCTATGTAAAACTTTTTGGCAATTTACCCCACCCTACCCCCGGGGGTCATGATTTGAACAAAATTGAATCTACACTACCTGATTCCACATGAGTTTCATCTTTCCTATCTAGTGGTTCTATGAAGAATTTTTTAAGATTTTTCCTATATATTCCTATGTTAAACTTTGATCGGTCATTTTGGCCCCACCCTACTCCTGGGGGTCATGATTTGAACAAAATCGAATCTACACTACCTGAGAATGATTCCATATGAGTTTCATCTTTCCTGTCTCAATGGTTCTTGAGAAGAAGATTTTTCCTATATATTCCTATGTAAAACTTTGATTGGCCATTTTAGCCCCACCCTACCCCCGGGGGTCATGATTTGAACAAAAATTGAATCTACACTACCTGAGGATGATTCCACATGAGTTTCATCTTTCCTAGTCTAGTGGTTCTTGAGAAGAAGATTTTTTAAGATTTTTCCTATATATTCCTATGTTAAACTTTGATCAGCCATTTTGCCCCACCCTACCCCAAGGGGTCATGATTTGAACAAACTTGAATTTACACTACCTGACGATGATTCCACATGAGTTTCATCTTTCCTGGTCCAGTGCTTCTGAAGATTTTTTCCTATATATTCCTATGTTAAACTGAGCCATTTTTGAACCCTACTGGGGGTTATTGGAATCATACCTGAGGATGATTCCACATGATCATTTCCTGGCCCAGTGGTTCTTGAGAAGAAGATTTTTAAAGATTTTTCCTATATATTCCTATGTAAAACTTTGATCAGCCATTGGAATCATGATTTGAACAAACTTGAATAATTTTACTAAATTACACATCTCTCCTGGCCCAGTGGTTCTTGAGAAGAAGATTTTTTAAAAATGCCATTAATTTTTTTCTAACATAATCTCCCCTTGAAAAGGGCGTGGCCCTTCAAAACTTGAATCCCCTTTACCCACAGGATTTTTGTAGCAAGTTTGGTTGAAATTGGCCAAGTGGTTCTTGAAAAAGAAAAATGTGAAAAGTTTACAACAACAACAACGCCAACAACGGACGCCAACGAAAAGCAAATAATATGTTCAAAGAAATATTTATATTAAAAGATGCAGTAAAAATATTATTAGACAAAACCTGTACCTCATTATAATTATTCTATGCAATAATTAATTTCATTCAATGGTCTTAAGTGTCTGGTATTGTTAAATAACATGTATATGTCGTTTTCTTGCTATGATACTAGTAATTCAACAACATGTTCAAAGATAAAACAATTAAAGAAAAACTTTACATTTATTTCTACAATCCACTGCATTAGAAAGCGAAAATTTATGCATGGTAAACATTGAACGTTTATCTGCATGATGTATGGAGAATATTAAACCTTAAAGTTCTAAATATTGAGCATCTGAAACAACCACCTTAAATAAATATTGATCTTAGCCTCCTATTTCTCAATTTTCCTCTCTTAAATAAATATTTCTATGTCTTTCAGAGCTTCATATTAAACAGCGGGATAAAAGTATGTGAGGAACTCTTAATGCTTGCACATCACTTGAAATATTGTATTGCATTGTTTATGGGCGTTTGATCTTGAATACTGTTCTTTATCACGATATTTTTCATATAAATATCAGAAGATCTATCTGACTTTGTCTTTATCATACCTAAACTTATCACATTAGAATGCTTGTATAGATATAGTCTTCTTGCCGACACAATATACCATAGATTTATCAATGTATATATTAGCCCTTTAAAAGACTTTATGCAGCCACTGTCATCATACACTTATATTGTCTTAGATCCTAGATCACTTAACATGCACATGTCCTGTCTTAGAAACAAGTTTGATTTTAGACCACTCAACATGCACATGTACTGTCTGAGAAACAAGTGTGATCTTAGACCACTCAACATGCACATGTCCTGTCTGAGAACAACGTTGATCTTAGACCACTCAACATGCACATGTACTGTCTGAGAAACAACGTTGATCTTAGACCACTCAACATGCACATGTACTGTCTGAGAAACAACGTTGATCTTAGATCACTTAAAATACACATGTACTACGCGGGTTTGTTAAGACAGGACATGAATCAAAATTCAGCGAATTAACACTTTTTTATAATTATGTAACACGGATAAATCGGAAAAGTCAATGATAAAAATGTTGCTATCATTCAGCATTCTCTAGACATCAATGGGACTTGTACTACGGGAAGCACTTCACCACGACGTCACCACGTGATGTCTATTTTCAGAAAATATGCCTTAATGAAAAATTAAAAAGTTCAACACTAACCCGGGTATAATTAATTTCAATTTGTAATGATAGTTATCTAAAATAATCTCTGTACCAAAAAACTGCTGCTAGAATCCTACTGTCCTATCACAGAAATAATTATTCAACACTTTCGGATGAAATCTTCCAAAAATTTATACATTTTGTTCATAACATCGAAAAAAAAATGCATCAATTCTCGTAAACCATACAATTCTAGCAGCACTTTCCAAAAACAATAGAATAAGAACTTTAGATAGAAACAAAAATTAAGTTTCAAATTATGCGGCGTAGTGTTGAACCTTTGCACATTTTTTGTTACGAACGACTGAGGAAAGGCTGATCGGCAACTCAACACCCTGCCTGCTTTAATTTTACGAAGAATTTGTAAAAAAAAATATATTATCATACCTTATTCATAAGCTTTATTCCCACATAAATCACACATGATATTCATTCTTAATGCTTTTAAACTCCGATTTCTTGTGTTTGTTTACATGAATTCGCGCTATGTTTCACTTTCACTCTGCTACTGCCTGATCAACAGTTATGAAGTCACGGGTTTGGTATTTAACGCCTGTGATATCTACAGAGACCCAGAAACGGCAAAATTTAGTTTATATTATGTCTCTCCATTTTTTGATTTATTTTTACGACCTCACATCAATCGTAGATATCGATTTTAAGAAATTGTTATCTCTAAACTTCATGTCATATAGCTTACTATGACGTCATATCTTATAGGCAAGTAGAATATTTGGTTGTAACCTTAACATACCTGCGTATCTTAGAAACAGCTTTGATCTTAGATCACTCAATCTTAAATCACCATACACATATACTGTCTTACAAATAACTTTGATCTTACATCACTCAACATGCACATATGTACTGTCTTAGCAACAACTTTGATCTTAGATGACTCAACCATAAATCACTAGCAGCATCTTCAATAGGAGTGCTTTGATTTTTTTCCTTGTACATCTATGTTTATAAGCTTGTTTTGTAGAATATGAAAATGATACATTGACTTTACCACAAAGGGAAAGACATCTATTAAAAAAATTACCCTACCTTCTCGGAAAGTATCTGTTTATCTTTGTCTGCTTTTCTTTGATGCAAGATAAAGAATTTATAAACAACTTCATGAAATATTATTTTAGTCATTCTCTACTTCAAATTGAATTCCTTTGTTAGTGCTGTATAATATTTAAGAACTGGCATCCTGCTTTGCAATGATAATCTCAGTCACGTGATGCATATTTCAGATAAACGGGATTTTTTTCCTTTTTCTAAAATAAACACTTCCTTGTCAACATACAGAACGTATTATAGAGTATTTTTTTAAAAATATTTTTCTGATACTTTTTATTGAATTTCATAATTCTAATTTGCCCTTAATTAGAGAGCACAAACAGTTCAAGATAACTAGTATATAAAGTAATAACAAATCTGTTCAATTACGTTAAGGCAACGTAAAATATTGTTTATTTTTAACATCAAGTGAATGTTTAATGAATTCTCTATCATTGTGTGAAATATCATCGATTAATCATTAATTCGTTTTAAATGTACTCCTTATTTTTGACAGAAAATTTATTTGGGTTTAAATAAGTATTAATAAACATGTATTGTCTTAGAATCTGTCGTGATCTATGGACTCTGTTCATTATTGGATATAGAAATTTAAAATGTTAAAAATACAATCGTGCGCAGGATTTTCAAATGAGATTTTTCACAAAAAATCCAGGCTTAAGTATGTCATGATTAACATTTTTTGACTTAGAAACTATCCATAATATTTTAGGTCATTCAGTCGTAGATCACACTGGCAGCATCTAAAACTGAGCTATTATAATTATTATTTCTTAGATACAATCCTGATTTTAAGTCCCCCATTCTTTGAATAATTGTTTATGTCTTTAACTGTTTTCTTAGTTCTATATTTTTTTTTATTTCTTTGCTAATACCTTGATCTTAGTCTACTATTCTAAAGCTAGACTATTATAATTCTTATTCCTTCTCTACTTCGTCATTATTTTCTTAGATCACACTAGCAGTATCTACGGTTAAACTGTTATATTTCTTTATTGATATAAATAGAGCTGACAAAAATTTCGTTATCCCTTCTTATCCTTTTTTTCATTTTTGCACAAAATATCATGCATGTAATTCCTTACAAATTTTAACTTTTTTAAATACAAGCAAAGCTCTTTTTAATGTTAATTAATGCTTAGTAGTATTATCCTGTTTTAAAGTGATTGCACTAGTCACGTGATGTATGTATTACATGAATGGAAATTTTCTCGTTTTGCCTTTCAAATATTTCCTTGTATTCAGAGCTAAAATTGTTCAATTTTCAACGCAATATTTATGAAAATGTTCTCAATAATTCATTCGATTCTATTAAGCCGAATTCTGCAGAAAATATTTAGACTGAATATCATGATTCCACTCACTTATGATGAAATATGAACTACAAACATTACATTATATTTTTACTACCATCAGATTTTTCATGCATCTCTTGATCGAAACTGATTCGATTTGACACTGACACGCTTGTATGTTGTATATCTATTTAATTAGAAGTGTACATGTGGATAAATAACATGCAGTATTGATGAGAATATAAATGACTTTCATGATCTTTGAATAAAAAAAATTAATGAGATTTAATATCAGATGCTAACTATTTAGGATCCATTTATACAATACACACTAAACGGTTTAAATTCATGGTATCTTTAAAAAAAAACTTTAGCATGTTTTATTGGCACGTTTTGTTCGAGTTCAATGAACTGAAATCTGCAGAACGATAAAAATATTGTAGTAAATGAGGAGTTCTTTATTGTTCAATGCAACAAAACGTTATAATACGTTGTAAATCATACAGAAGATATAAAAAAAAATGCTGAATGTTCTATAACTTTTTAATTTCATTATTCCAATACTTATCACTGAGTTTTAACTGACTGTAAATGAATTATAAGGTTACTCATTTCATTCTCCGTATATCTATCCAGTTGCATACGGATGAGTTATCTCACCTGCAGTTTTGCTGATTTAGTATTGTTGAAGTGTTGAAGAATAAAAAAAAGATGTGTTTGTACAACACTGATGCCCCCGTATGGCAGGTTATAACGCGTTTTAAATTATCTCAAATGTATGTCAAACTCCAATGGATAAGGTCAAAAAAGTTTGTACCCAAAGGAAGGTCTTGTTCCAAGAAATACACCTGTGAAATATGAAAGTCCGACTTTTAATTCTTTTAAAGTTAAGACCAATATTTTTTTAAGTGGGTCAAACTCTTAAATCAAGGTCAAAAGGTCAAAATTTTTATAACAACTGAAGGGTCTTTTACATCATTTATAAAGATTTTCAATAACCTGCCAGAATATGGGTCCTTGAGGAATATCTTCACAGATTTCAAGTAGGCCGCTGATATAATGACTAATTTTGACCCATTGCTTTTGCAAGAAATATGTTGGAGAAAGACCATGCTGACTGGCCTTTGATTGTTAGGCCATTATTTTTAAAACTGAGTCGTCCACAGATTTTTTCCCGCTACTGTAAAACGAGAAAATTTGGTGCAAACGTAATTTAGCGAAAACGCAAGCAGGAATGCATCGGCGCAAATAGATTTTAGCGCTTGAACTTGTCATGAAAATATCAAAATGTGATATCTTTTTTTCTTTTATTCAAGCCCGTATTTCACTTTTTGGTTAGTCAAGCACGGAAACACAATAGCATTTCCGTATATAAAGGGTGTTAAGAAAGTTCGTTCCACATTTTTGTTTTATTTTGCAAAAGAAATACGATTAGAAGATATTTACAATTGGTAATATTTCATGTTTACAGAGTCCATTCTTGCTACTGATAAAGTTTTAACTGCCTATTGTTGAATCATTAAGCAGAGGGCAGGTATTAAAACAGATGATGTCTGTTAAGAAAAATTAGGAATGACGCATATTTGTGGCAATATTAAGCATACAGGTCAAAACACTCTTTCAAATATCGTGCAATAATTATCAGATCTGAAAAAAAAATCAAAATGACAAACCTATTCTTTTGAAAAGTGATCTATCGTTCTTATTAGCATATTTTTCATCAGCTTGTCTGATGCAAGATAAGCTAAAAAGAAACAAAAGTAACTTATCCTTTATTTTCACTCTAAATGACCAGCATTTCTATCATTCGGGTGCTTTAAAGAAGTTATATATTTTCATATGGAAGAAAAATTCTATAAGTTCCTGCTAGAAATGAATTGCTATAAATCTAAAGGACACATGTGATTTTGTCAGACTTGAAAATTCATCTTTTTATATAAGCACTACTTTGAATTTTTTGAAAATATTTCATCCTGGAACGAACTTTCTTAACACCCCTTATAAGTTAACATTCGTCAACTTTACCGTGGTGTTTTAATCATCTGGACGTGACACAGTGTCAATTTATTTTAATGTTTAAAAAAAGAAAACGTTGAGTATTTACGCATTTTTCATGTTTTATTCATATAAAATAATGTATGCATTGCAAGAAAGTTACTTGGATAATCCATAATCATACTCAGCTATTGACTTCAAGCTCAAAAGCCATGCTTAATTGCATTGTTTACCTCGAGGCAATAAATGATTGACATGCCGAAAATCCGAACTTTGAAGTGCTAATGATAAGTATTGGGTAACAACTTACAACAGTTTAACGAATTTATAATTTGGCAGTATTTTCTTGATCGTTCCTACAGTGCTAGTGTGTTTAAAAAATCAAACGACCCTTCGACATTACGTAATCGCTCATTCCGGTTTACATGCATTTTTGTGAAAGCTTTGAAAATACACACGAAAATAGTATTTAGATTAGAAATCCTTTAGCGCACAATAAATTTTAGTATTCAGGGGCTCTTGCGTCAAATGCGCTAAAATTAGTAGTGCGCCAAATATTCTGGTTTTACAGTATTTCCCGATCGTGACAAGGAGCACATGACGGGTATTACCGATTGGCTAGGAATGCTCAATCCGTCATTGCACCTGAACCCACCTCTGTTGTTTAAGAGGTCTGTGCTTGATCTGCTCCTATTTTGTATTGTTTAAAGGACTTTTCAGCTGGCATACTATTTGTTTTCTCCACACATTTCACCATAAGATTTTAGATTGAGGAGGATAAGATCAGAATTGAGGCTATCACTTCTATATGTCTACCATAATGACACCAACATATGTATTTTTCATCAAATGCTCTACTCCTATCTTTCGTTATTTCTAAACAACAGGTTTGGTATCTGTTCTATGTAGTGTTTTTTTTTTATAAATAGTTTTTGTAATTTTTTATTAAGGCATAGAGTGGCTCATTTTATTGTCTTTTTTTTCTTTTCTTAAATGACCCTTTACTAGGAGAGTTAAACTCTCTTAACACCAAATATAAATATTTAAGGACTCTAAAAATCAAATTAAAATCTACAGAATAAATATTGAGTTTATTCCGAAAGTTCATAATTCAAATAAATGAAATGGCAATGATTACAGGTTTTTAAAAAAAGGTTTGACAATCGTAGAATTTTTTTTCACTTAATGTGAACTTACGAATTTTTCTTTATTTCTTTACTGAAACTGAATTAGTACAAAATAAATTTACGAACCTGACGAATACTTTTAACTACATTCTTTTGTAAGAAGGATATGGAGATAACGAACAGTATTCAATCTCAAAGTTCATAAAATATTACAATATAAGAGCAGAGCA